GTTGCCCTCCCATTCGTTCTTTCCCTGTCTCTCCCAGTGAGCTTATGTACCCTATACCAAACTCAAACTAAAAAAATAATTAAAAATAAAAAATAGTTTAGTTCAAAAATGCCTTCAGGTACCTTTCCCCTTCACTGAAGATCAGAGGTTACAGTAACTGGCAACAACCTGCTCTAATAATGTGAAGCTGTCCAAAAAGTCCTCTTCTTCAATTCCAAATTTTGTATACTGATGAATATAGGCTCTGGTGAGAAAGAAAAAAAGATAAAAAATGTCAAGCAAATGAGTGAGTAACTCTTAAAATCAAACAATAAAGATCTTCTCTTGCTCATAGACATTTGAAGATGGCACAATCTCTATTTTTTAAGGATTATTTTAACAAATATATATATATATATGTATATTTACGTATTTGAGTGTTTTTCCATTTGACCAGAGAAAGACAGTGAGAGAGAGAGAGAAAGAGAGCAAGAGGGAAAGTGAGAAAGCAAGCCGCCAGGTCTGGGACGAAAATTGTGGTTGGCCATGTGGGGTGTCTAGCGCCCTTAACCACCACGCCACCTGCCGGCCTCTGCACAATCTCTTCAAAGTTTTACACTGAGACCAGCAAGTGGTATGATAGTTAAGGGGGTGGACCACATGGTCAACCATGGTCTGAGTCCCAGACATGGTGGTTTGCTTTCCCACTTTCCCTCTCTCTCTTTCGACCACTGTCTTTCTCTGGTGAGTGTGAGTGCCCTATGGCAAATAAAAAACCAAAATACAAGTTTTTAAAAAAGACTTTTATCTGTGGGCCAGCCCATCTCCTGGTGGTTAAGGTAACTGTATCCCTACATGCCTGATTGTATGGTTCACGTCCTGGACCCAGTGGATTGAGAAACACACCAGGTGCTTGTACATGTGTGTCCGAAATCTTTAAAGGAGAGAAAAGCTGAGAAGAAACTGCAGCATGGCCACCCCTCTCTCTCTTTGGCAAGCACATGTACTCTCTGGCAAAATGAAAAAAAAAATCTAATATATTTACTTAATTGTTTAATCCAAACATATAACTTTATGAAAGCTTTTATCAAGCTCCTTTTAGTGTGCAAGAGAATGACAGTAAGAGACACACAGATAAAAGCAGCATGTTCAGAGACCAGCAGATGACATAAATTATGTCGTTGGATTCCCACATGGCTGACCACAGTTCAAGTACCAGACCCGGTGGCTTAAACTCATGCTAGGTGCATGTGTATGCATGCCCAAGATCCCGAGAGGAGAATGGAGGAGAAGGGATTGCGGCATGGCCATCTCCCCTGGGGGGGGATTTCTTATGTTTTGTCTCTCTGGCAAGCGCACATGCCCTATAGCAAAAATCTCTCTCATAAAAAAAGAAAAAGGCATGTTCAGATTTTGATTGGTTACTTAACATATATTTAACACTCTAGAGGAGAAAATGGGGTTTAACATAAACTTGAAACCTGAGAAGTTTCATCTAAGACTTGAAACTAGAAGCACATCGATCTAGATCTAGGAATGTAGTGAAGCCTTCTACGTGCTTTTTTTTTTTTTCAATTTAAGTTTCTGCTCTAAGGCATGTGAGTTTGCCAGAGAGAGAGAGAAAATGAGAAATCACCTCCCAGGGTAGATGGCCACTCTGCAATCCCTTCTCCTCCATTCTTCTCTGGGGATTTTGAGCACACCTGCACACACGCCCAGTGTGTTTTACAAGCTGCCAAGTCTGGGACTCAAATGAAGCAGTCAGCCATGTGGGATCCAGCCACCTTACCCATCATACTACCTGGCTGGCCCCCCAGTGCTTTTCAGACATCATTTAATTTGTAATTATGCCAGGGTAATCCTCTCAATCCATCCCACGCCCCAAATATTTTGAGGTATGAGAAATGACATCCGGGGACCAGCAGTTGGCGTAATGGCTATCTTGCTGGACTCCCACGTAGTCGACCGCGGTTCGTGTCCCAGACCCGGTGGCTTAAAACTCATGCCGGGCGCGTGTGCGTGCATGCCCAAGATCCTGAGAGGAGAAGGGACTGCGGTGTGGCCATCCCCCCTGGGGGGGTAATTTCTCGCTTTCTGTCTCTATGTCTCTCTCTGTCTGTTTGGCGAGCGCACGAGCCCTATAGCGAAAAAAGAACCTCTCAAAAAAAAAAAAAAAAAAAGAAATGACATCCAAAATGAACATCAAGAGCAGACATGAAGGCCAGCAGGTGGCATGGAAGGTAAGACACCTGGATTCCACATGGCTGACTTTCAGATTTGAGCCCTGGATCTGGTAGATGAAAATTATGCCAGGTGCCTGTATGTATGTGCTTGAAATTATGAGAGGAGAAGGGATTGCAGTGTGGCCATCTCCTCAGGGGATTTCTCTCTTTCTCTCTCCAGCAAGCACATGTACTTGATAGCAAAAATCTAAAAAGAACAGATGTGAATTAAATTGACATAATAATACTTGCTACCATTCAATGAGAACAAAAATGACAGCAGAAGAGGACAGAGAGCACGTGGTTCTGAGGAATGGGGCTATGGAATGGCCACAGGCAGGATACTAGGACCCTTGGAAATCTTACCTGATCAATGCACAAGCTTTGTTTAGTCATTTGAGTTTTGTTTTCCTTTTTGTTTTTTAATTTGCTACAGGGCATGTGCACTTACCAGAGTGAGAGTGAAAGAGAGAGAGAGTAACGCAGTATCCCTATGGGGGATGGTCACATCACCATCTCTCTAACTCCATTTCTCCTTTCAGGATTTTGGGCACACATACACACATGCCCAACATGGTTTTCAAGCTACTGGGTCCATACTTCAACTGTGCAGTTGACCATGTGAGATCCAGTCACCTTAATCACCCTGCCACAGGCTGGCCTGAGCAGTTTTTTTTAAAGATGGGGTCTTACTATATCTCAATCCACCTGCCTTAGCCTACCAGCTAAGAATACAGGTATGGTGCCATCTTGCCTGGCTTTTCTTTTCTTTTTTTCCCCTCCCTCCCTCCCTCCCTCCCTTCCTTCCTTCCTTTTCTTTCTTTCTTTCTTCCTTTCTTTTTTTCTTTCTAATGCTAGAGGGTGCATGTGCGTGCCAGAGGGAAAGAAAAAAAGAGAAAAAGAAAGCATCCTCACAGTGGGGTCTGGTCATAGCACACTCCTTTCCCCTCCATGTGTTCATCCTGTCAGGATCCTAAGGTGTGCCCATGCACACAGGGTGTGTTGTCATGGGGGTGGGATTTGCTATTTCTTGGTATCAATCGAAATTTCTTAGTGTCAAGTAGAGTTGAATTAACATATATCTTACTGAGGGAGATCAGAATCTCTTCCACACCCTCAAAGGTTTTATTTTTGAAAACTACTGGGAACCAGCAGTTAGCAATAATGGCTATGTCACTAGACTCCCATGTAGCCAACCGCGGTTTGCGTCCCGGACCCGGTGGCTTAAAACTCACGCTGGGCGTGTGTGCGTGCGTGCCCAAGATCCCGAGAGGAGAATGGAGGAGAAGGGATTGCGGTGTGACCATCCCCTCTGGGGGGTGATTTCTCGCTTTCTGTCTCTATGTCTCTCTCTGTCTGTCTGGCGAGCGCACGCGCCCTATAACGAAAACCTCTCCAAAAAAAAAGTAAAAAAAAAAAAAAAAACCAAAAAAACTACCTTACTGCCCCTGCCTTACAGTAAAATTTCTACCTTAATATCATTTGGCATAGAAACTACTCATTCAGTCATCAAGGATAATATCAAAATAGTAATAATAACAATAATGTCAAACAACAGAGCATTTACCAGCCAGGCACTATACTGGGTGCATTATAAGATTATCTCATTTAATCCTCACTGCCTATTTTCTCCATTAAGACTCATAGTAGATGGGGCTGGTAAGTGGCATGGTGGTTAAAGGCGCTGGACTACCACATGGCCGACCACAGTTCAAGTCTCGGACCTGGTGGTTTGCTTTCTCACTTCCTCTCTCTCTCTCTCTGTCTCTCTCTGATCAAACTGGAAAATAATAATGATAATTACAATAAATAAAGTTAAATAAAATCATTAAAAGAAGACTCATAGTAGAGGGGACTGGCAGGTGGCGTGGTGGTTAAGGCGCTGGACAATCCCACATGGCTGACCATGGTCCAAGTCCTGGACCTGGTGGCTTGCTTTCTCACTTTCCTCTCCCTCTCTCTCTCTGTCTCTCTCTGGTCAAATTAAAATAAATGAATGGGAATGAATAAAATTGAATAAAATACTTCTTTAAAAAAAAAAAAAAGGCTCATAGCAGAGATAAAAGACATGAAGCCTGAAGTCATAAGCCCAAGGTTGCCCAACTACACATTTCAGCCATGTTTAGTTCAGATCCTACCTCCTGTTTTGTCTAAGGTAAGAGAAGTCTGTATACTTATTTTTTACTTACTTGGAAGCAAACATTTTCCATGCGTTGCCCACAATCGTATCAAGTGGTTTTACTAAAAACTGGCTGTTGCTGACCAGTGCTGCAGACTTCTCATATTTGTTAAAGGTGCGCTGGGTTTTCCACGCGCTGAAAGCATCGTCAGGCCGTAACCAGGCAGTATACAGAGGAGGATCTTTAAATCTCTCTAAAAAAACAACATAAGCATATGCATAAATTATTATGAAAACAAATTCATCATTTTTTGTCCATTTCATTAGAAATATTTTAATTTTTGCCTGTTAAACCCAGCATTATATTGCTTTTGCATAAATGATCCACACTTACTGTACCAAAACACAATAGTAATTCACACCATTCATAAAAGTATTTAGAAGAGGAACCAGCAGTTAGTGTAATGACTATGTCGCTGGACTCCCACATAGTCGGCCGCGGTTCACGTCCCAGACCCGGTGGCTTAAAACCCACGCCGGGCGCGTGTGCGTGCGTGCCCAAGATCCCGAGAGGAGAATGGAGGAGAAGGGATTGTGGCGTAGCCATCCCCTCTGGGGGGGTGATTTCTCGCTTTCTGTCTCTCTGTTTCTCTCTGTCTGGCGAGCGCATGCGCCCTGTAGTGAAAAACCTCTAAAAAAAAAAAAAAAAAAGTATTTAGAAGAAAAGTAAAAAGTCACCAGAAGAGCTGAAATGCCACCACCCAGGGGTAATGACTGTGAACACCTTGCTGGCCCTTCTGGAATGCATGTAGTTTTACATGTGTTCTTCTACCGAATGTAATTACAACATTTTGCCTTCACCAGTGCGGTATGAACTTTGCACATGGATTTCCACATGGCTGACTGCAGACTGAGTCCCAGACCTGGTGGCTTGCTTTCTCACTTTCTCTCTCTCTATGTCCCTCTCTGGTCAAATTAAAAAATATGTAAATAAATAAATAAAGTTAAATAAAATAATTCTTAAAGAAAAAATAAGTAAGTTTTAAAAATTAGAAAAAAGAAGTTTCCCAATGTTGGGCATTAAAGTTGGTTACCCATTTCTATTAGTGTGAAAGATATAGCAATGAAGATCTTGGCAAAAACACTTTGTACATTTGTGTCATTGCCTATGTGCACAGTTTTAGAAGTTAGATTATTTTATATATCTTTTTAAAAAATTCTCTTATTTGAGCCAACTATGTGGCATAGTAGTGAAGGCAGCTGGATCCTATGGGGCCTACTATGTGGTTCCAGTCTCAGACCCTGTGGCTTGAAAACCATGCAATGAGTGTGTATGTGTGCTCCAAAATGCCAAGAGGAATAGAGGAAAAGTAATTGCAGTGTGGTCATCCCCATTGGGGGTTGCTTTCTCACTTCCTCCACCCCATCTGTCTCTCTCTGGTGATCTCATGCACCCTATAGCAAATTAAAAAAATATATATATAAATATATCCAGGGTCAGCAGGTGGTGGTTGAAGTACTGGACTTCCACATGGCTGAACATGGTTCGAGTCCTGGACCTGGTGGATTGCTTTCTCATTTCTGTCTTTCCCTCTCTCTCTCTCACTGTTTTTGTTTCACTCTGATGAGCACACATGATCTATAGCAACTTTAGAAAAAATAATAATGATAATTATTTTATCATTTTAAAAATTACTTCATTTTATCATTTAAAAAATTTCCCTTGTTTAAATATCTAAAATGAAAAATATGGAAGACTAATGATTTGATTGACATGAAATAATCAATTTTTAATTATTATTAGTTCCTTATGTAAGGGGTATTACAGAGACTAGATGATTTGGTGTTTTTCTTTTTTTTTTTTTTTTAGAGGTTTTTGCTATAGGGCACGTGCGCTCGCCAGACAGACAGAGACAGAGAGACAGAAAGCGAGAAATCACCCCCAAGAGGGGGATGGCCACGCCACAATCCCTTCTCCTCCATTCTCCTCTCGGGATCTTGGGCACGCACGCACACGCTCCCGGCGTGAGTTTTAAGCCACCGGGTCCGGGACGCAAACCGCGGTCGACTACGTGGGAGTCCAGCGACATAGCCATTACGCTAACTGCTGGTCCCTATTTGGTGTTCTTTATACCACTGCAAGAGGTAGCGAATTTGACACGATAGAACTCATTCACCTACCATAAAAAAAGAAGTTAATGAGAGTACTGCTCTTTCAATTGAAAAAATTTGTAACAAAATGCTTGCTGTGGCTTGATGGTTAAGACAGCCCAATCCCACATGGCCTACCACATGGTTTAAGTCCTACACACAGTAGCTTGAGAAACATACCGGGTATGTGTACACATGTGCTCAAAATCCTGAAAGGAGAGAGAGATGGAGGAGAAGGGATTGTAGCATGACCATTTTGCATGAGAAGCACTTCCTCCTCTCCCTCTCTCACTCTTTCTGTCTCTCTGGCCAGTGAACACACTCTCTAGCAAAAAAAAAAACAAAACTGCTTACCACAGACACCTCTAATTATGCTGAAATTTCTGTTCTCCCCTTCTTCCTCAGTAACAGAAACCCCAAAGTTTAACTGTATCCACAGCCAGTCTTACAGCTAGGTGTGGCCCATGACTCAGTCCCGGTGAACAAGACGGAAATGCCGAGTGTAATGTGTGGCTTTTGGAGGAGGAGGCACGCCCTCCTTTGCTTATTCCCTTGTGATATGATGGATGAGACCCAAGCAGGTATCTCGGACTATAGGGAGGAAGCCACAAGGGAAGGACAACAGAGCAACTAGATGTCTCAAAGAAAGAATTAAACTTTTTTTTTTCTTTTTTCCTTTTTTTGTGATAGCGCATGTGCACTCACCAGAGGGAGATAGTGACTAGGGGTTGGGGTAGGAAATCACTCCCTGGGATAGGGGTGGGGTGTGTATGACCATGTCACAAATCCTTTTCCTCCATTCTCTTCTTGGGATTTTGGCCATGCACACACACACACGCCCGGGATGTTTTTTAAGCCACCAGGTCTGGGACTCTAATTGTGCAGTCAGTTAAATGAGACCCAGACACTTTAACCACCATGCCACCAGCTGGCCCCAAACTTAAACTTTTATCTCGTTTAAACTTAAACTGGGCCATCTTCATGGCCTAGTAGTTTAGGGAGCTGGATCCCACATGGCTCACTACATTTCAAATCCCAGGCCTGGAGGCTTGCAAATTATACCAGGAGATTGTGTGTGTGTGTGCCTAAAATCCAGATGAGAGAGAGTAATGGAGAAGAGATTGTGATGTGACTGTATTCCATCAGGAGAACTGTCTCCCTCTCTCTTTCACTCTGATAAGTGCATGAGCTCTATAGCAAACAAAATACTTAGGCCACAGGGACCAACAGGTGGCACGGCGGCTAAGGAGCTAGACACTCCCACATGGCTGACCAGAGCTCAAGTCCTGGACCTGATGGCTTGCTTTCTCACTTTCCCTCTCTCTCTCTGTCTCTCTCTGGTCAAATTAAAATGAATAAATGAATAAATAAAATGAAATAAATAATTCCTAAAATAATAAAAAGGTTAAAAAAAAACAAAAACACTTGGGACAGATGGTGGTGTAGTGGTTAAGGCAGCTGGTTCCCACATGGCTCAAAGCTCAGTTCAAGGCCCAGATCCAGCAGCTTGAAAAACACTCCAAGTAGATGTACATGCAAGCCCAAAATCCTGGAAGGAGAAATGGGAGTGGGATTATAGCATGACCATACTTCATGGGAGGGGTGCTTTTCTCTGTCTCTCTCTTTTTCCAGCAAGTGCACACACTCTTTAGCAAATTTTTAAAAAGAATTAAAACTTGGGGCTAACAGGTGGCACAGTGGTTGAGGTGTTGGACTCCCACATGGCCAAATGTGGTTCAAGTCCTGGACATGAAGGCCTGTTTTCTTACTTTCCCTTTCTCTCTGTCTCTCTCTGCTCAAATAAAAAATAACAACAACAACAACAACAAAAATAATTCTTTTTTTTTTTTTTTTAAGAGGTTTTTGCTGTAGGGTGCGTGCACTAGCCAGGAAGACAGAGAGAAATGAAGAGACAGCGAGAAATCACCCCCCCAGCGGGGATGGCCACGCCACAATCCCTTCTCCTCCACTCTCCTCTCAGGATCTTGGGCACGCATTCACATGCACCCGGCGTAAGCTTAAGCCACCAGGTCCAGGACTTGAACCGCGGTCAACAACATGGGAGTCCAGCAACATAGCCATTATACTAACTGCTGGTCCCAATAATTCTTTAAATAAATAAATAAAACTTAAATTTCTATTTGTTAAAACTTCTACTGGGTCATCAGGAAAGTCATGACACGTTTTTGCAGAGAAAAGCATAGTAAAGCACGTCATGACTTTCCCAGCAACCTAATATCTAAGTGTCTAGTCAATACATACAACAGTTACCTTTGCCACTAACATACAGCCACCACTTTCTTTCCTCTAAAACTAAATACAAGAACGAGAACCTTTTTCTTTAACCATGTGTACCATATACATTTAAAACATACACCTTAATTTTCACCTAGCTTCCGCTCACCCAGATCTGCACTTTGCACATCTTTCCCACGAAGGATGACCAAGTTAGCAATGGAAGTGTTAAAATGAAGCTCCTTGTTGACATACATTTTACCAAGAGGAGGAAGTCCCGATAAAGGAGGCCGTATCTGCCAATCAATACCTTTCAAAAGAAACAAAACAAAACTGAAAACAGGAGATTTCATAAAGGTTTTGAATAAATGGAGAAAAATGTCCTATGGTATTTGCATTTCACATAAAATTGTATTTACTGCTTAAATAAAAGATAATATGGAAAAGCTGTAAAGCTGTTTTTACCTCTAAAAGTTGAGAAGGCAGGATGATAGAAACAAAATTCAGATCAGTAGTTTCTGGGGGTGAGGGTCAGAGGGTCTAGTAAGGCGAATGAAAGAACTTTTTGGGATGGTGGAAGTAATTCTACTTCAACTGTGGGGTGGTTACACACTGTAAGTTTGTCAAAATTCCTATACTTGGGGCCAGATAATAACACAGTAGTAGCACAAATGGAGCCACACAAGAAGGTCCTGGTTTATTTCTCAGGGCCTCCCTGTACACTCCTGGTACATCTGAGTGCCTGTGATCTAGGCTGGCGAGGCTGGAACCACGGTAAACCATGGGGGTTCCAGCATCTTAACCAACTTACCACCTGCGGATCCAAAAGAGTTTTTTTTTTTTCTGAGAGGCTTTTGCTATAGGGCATATGCGCTCGCCAGAAAGACAGAGACAGAGAGACAGAAAGCAGGAAATCACCCTCCAGGGAGGATGACCATGCCACAATCCCTTCTCCTCCATTCTCCTCTCGGGATCTTGGGCACACACGCACATGGACCCAGCGTGAGTTTAAACCACTGGGTCCGAGACTTGAACTGCAGTCAACTACATGGGAGTCCAGCAACATAGCCATTACACCAACTACTAGTTCCCCGAAAGAGTTCTTCTAAAGAGAATTTGGTATACAATTTTAAAAATCATGTATCATTTCTGAATATACAGAAAAAGAAAAACATGGGACCAGGCAGATGGCTTAGAGGTTATGTCACTGGACTCCAAAATAGTCAACCAAAGTTCAAGTCCTGGACCTGGAGGTTTAAGAGTCATGCTAGGCGTGTGTGCATGCATGCCCCAAATCCTGAAAGAATGGAGGAGAAGGGATTGTGGTGTGGCCATCCCCCAGGGGGCTGATTTCTTGCTTTCCGTTTGTCTCTCAGGTGAGCACACACACCCCGTAGCAAAAATCTCTCTCAAAAAGAAAAAAAAACTTAACAAAATTAATTGATTGATGTTTTCCTAAAATGTTTTCTCTAACTCAACAACTTGATCACGTTGACTCAACATTAATGATGCCTTTGTCTTTTCACACATTAGGGTCCTTTGTGCCTCCAGCACCTTAGTGAGTCAGCATTCCTTACAGTAATTCAGGAAAAAAGAGAAAAGCCATTGGCTGTCAGTCTGGCTCTGTAAGCACGCAGAGGACACCTACCATTGACTCCTGCTGGAGGAATGCTGCTTATCTTGTCTGTGTGTCAGGACTGCCTGTCCCCCCCACCCCCGCCCGGGCACAGAAAACTAGAGGCTTATTTCCTGGAAAGTATGACAGAGGTCTCTAGCCAGGGGAACACTAGACAGAGGTAAGGGAGGGATCTGCTCTGAAACCTGAGGGAGATCAAGTAAAAACATGACTTCCCATTCTTCTCCCTGCAGGGAGCTGGGGTTCTGCCTAAGCCTCCAAGCGGAATATCTAACAGAGGGGGCAGGCAAAGGGAATCTCCAGGATAACAAATATACACTGACCTTAAAGGGCAAAAAATCCAGACGGGGCTGGCCCCAAAGCCCAGTGAAGAAGGGAGCTGGTTCCCACGTGGTCAATCACAGCTGGAAAACACACTGGGCATGTGTGTTTCTGTGTGCCCCAAATCCCGATGGGATGGAAAAATGGAGAGGAAGAGACTGGGGTGTGACCTTGTTCTACTGTGTGTGGCAGGAGTGCTTTTTCTCTGTTCCTCTCTGTCTCTCATACCACTATCAACAACAACAACAGCAACAAAAATGTAGATGAAGCAGATCATGAGGTTGTAAGGAGAGATCCCTTAAGGAAGATAAAACTGATAGTGTATCTGAGTATATCAAGAAAAAATTTAGACAACCAGAGAAACAAATTATTTGAATAACTGACAAGTACACAAAAAAAACTAAGCATATAAAAAAACATGGCAATTATAATTAGTAACACTAAAGAAAAATTTGAAATTATATAGGAAATGAAAAGTAATCACAGTATATTACATGACTCAGCTGTAAATAGTACATACTTGGTCATGATAATGTAAAACTAAATATTAGTGGGACCAGCAGTTGGCGTAATGGCTATGTCGCTGGACAGTTCAAGCCCCAGGTCCTATGATTTAAACTCACGCAGGGCACCTGTGCATGTGTGCCCAAGATCCTGAGAGGAGAATGGAGGAGAAGGGATTGCGGCGTGGTCATCTCCCCAGGGGCTGATTTCTCGCTTTCTGTCTCTCTCTGTCTTTCTGGTGAGTGCACGCTCCCTATATAGCAAAAAAAAAAAAAAAAACAAAAAAAAAACCTCTAAAAAAAAAAAAAAAAAGTATATTTCTCGGGGCTGGAAGGTGGCATGGTGGTTAACATGCTAGACTCCCACATGGCCAACCATGGTTTGGGACCCAGACCTGGAGGCTTGCTTTCCTACTTTCCTTTTCTCTTTCTTTGTCTGTCTCTAGACAAATTAAACAAATACTAATGATGATAATAAATGAAATAAAATAATTCTTTAAAAACAGTATATTTCTCTACATTTACTTGTACTATTACATGGACTTTGGATTATAGTTTCAGAAGTTTGAAGTGACGTAGAAAGTTTACATCTTTTTTTTTGGGGGGGGGGAGAGATTATTGCTTTAGCGTGTGTGCGCTTGGCAGAGAGATAGACAGGGTAACTCACTTAACATTCAGGACCAGTAGAGGGCGTAATGGTTACATCACTGGACTCCCACATAGTCAACTGCAGCTCGAACCCAGATCCAGCAGCTTAAAACACACTGGGCTGGGTGCATGTGCGTGCATGCCCAAAATCCCAACAGAAGAAAGGAGAAGCGATTGTGGAATGGTCATCCCCCCCGGGGAGGGGTGATTTCTTGCTTTCTGTCACTTGGTCTCCCTGGCAAGTACATGCGCCTGTAACAAAAATCTCTCACTCTTTCTTTCTTTCTTTCTTTGAGAAGTTTTCACTATAAGGCGCGTGCGCTTGCCAGACAGACAGAGAGAGACAGAGAGACAGAAAGCGAGAAATCACCCCCCAGGGGGGATGGTCACGCCGCAATCCCTTCTCCTCCATTCTCCTCCTGGGATCTTGGGCACGCACGCACACACGCCAGGTGTGAGTTCTAAGCCACCGGGTCCGGGACGTGAACCGCGGTCGACTACATGGGAATCCAGCGACATAGCCATTACGCTAACTGCTGGTTCCCTCTCACTCTTAAAAAAAAAAAATGAAAGAAAGAAGTTACTATGGAGCCAGCAGGTGATATGGCGGTTGAGGTGCTGGACTCTCACATGGCTGACCACAGTTCAAGTCTTGGACCTGGCAACTTGCTTTCTTACTCTTCCTCCCTCTCACTCCTTGTCTCTCTCTGGTCATACTGAATAATAAATAAAATAAAATAAATAATTCTTTAAAAAAATACAAAATAAATAAAAGTAATTATTACACATTCACCTTTCACTGGGCCACCGTTCCGGGTTCCAAAGACATATTACTAAACAAATTCCTGACCTAATGCTAGTCCCATAGCATAGAGAACTGTATCCTGTGGCCAGTTAAAATTCAAATCCCAAACCCTGTGGCTTAAAAAACATGTTGGGTGAGGGACCAGCAGTTAGCATAATGGCTATGTCGCTGGACTCCCATGTAGTCGACCGCCATTCATGTCCCGGACCCGGTGGCTTAAACTCATGCCAGGGGCGTGTGCGTGCATGCCTAAGATCCCGAGAAGAGAGTGGAGGAGAAGGGATTGCAGCGTGGCCATCCCCACTGGGGGATGATTTCTTGCTTTCTGTCTCTCTGTCTCTCTCTGTCTGTCTGGCGAGTGCATCCTAAAGCAAAAAAACCTCTTCAAAAAAAAAAAATATGTTGGGTGGGGCTGGCAGGTACTATGGTGGTTAAGGCACTAGATTCCCACATGGCTGATAATGGTTCAAGTCCCAGACCTGTTGGCTTGCTTTCTCACTCCTCCCCCCCTTGTCTGATCAAACTGGAAAATAGTAATAACAATAATAAATAAACTTAAATAATTCTTTGAAAAAATAATAGGTACAGAGAATATCAACCAAATAGTGTAATTATTAATTATTAACAACTCTAGGAGAAAAAAATGAATTATACATGAAATAAAATATGATCTGTGTGCACAGTACATGGCTCAACTATGGAATAACATTTACATAGCAAAAGTAATACAAGCATTGAAGACTGATCTAGCCCACAAGTACGGTGGAACTTTATCTGGAAAGAGGAGAGACAAATGTATGCTCGCTTGCAAGTCCACTCGTGTGTAGGTGGGTGCAGAGAAGTATAAGGAGACTCAGTCCTCAATTTTTCACATTAGGAAGGCAATAAATAGTATCTAAAACTGGAAACTAAAAAAAATGACAGACAAGAAAAATATTGAGAAATATGGAGGCAAATTTCAGAAAGAACATCTAAAAATCCCCACAGCGCAGGGGTTCAATCCTATATATAGAAAGCTGGGTCCTGGGCCAGCTTGGTGGCCTGTTAGTTAGGCAGCTGGGTCCCACATGGCCAACAGTGTGGCTCAAGTCCTGGATTTGGTGGCTTGAGAAACATACCAGAAACGTGTGTACACAAGTACAAAATCCCAAAACGGAGACCTGCAGTTGGCGTAATGGCTATGTTACTGGACTCCCATGTAGTTGACTGCAGTTCAAGTTCTGGACCTGGTAACTTAAACTCATGCCGGACACGTGAGCATACATGCCCAAGATCCCGAGAGGAGAATGGAGGAGAAGGGATTGTGACGTGGCCATGCCCCCTGGGGGGTGATTTCTTGCTTTCTGTCTGTCTGTCTCTCTCTGTCTTTCTGGTGAGCGCACGTGCCCTGTAGCAAAAATCTTTCTAAGAAAGAAAGAAAATTCCAAAGTTGGGAGTGATGGAGAAGGGACTGCCCTCTAACAAAGCAAACAAACAAAGGATGGTCATTTATGGCCCACAGCAGTTTGAGTCCTGGCCCTGCCAACTAGGAAAACATGCTGGGTGTAGTATGCGTATCCAAAATCCTGATGGCATAGAGAAGTGATGGGGAGGGAACTGTTTTCTTTGTTCTAAATTCACGTAGGACAATTACTTGACATTTTGAAAGAATGGAGATGCAATTTACCTATAGTGCAGTAAATAGATTTAAGTATACATCAAATGAATTTTGATACCTTGATTTTTGAAACTATGTTCATATGTTATTCTGATTACATTTTTTGAAACATTGGTCTAAAATGTTTTTCAGTAATAAAACTGAGAAGTGATTTTAAGAAGCCCTCCTGGGATGTCCTGGTGAGTTTCTGCAGGAGCCTCCTTGACCTAAAGAAGAGACCATTATTTAAACTGGCCCAAGCCAGTTTATATTGAGAGCTCCAGGGCAGGCATTTTTCCCAGCTTGCGGGCTGCATATTTTTAAAATACTCTTTACCTTCTTCCATTTTTGCATTAGAAATGAGCATCTGTCTCAAACGCTTGAGGAGGCCAGCCCAAGTAAATGTGCTATATGCCAGTGAATTCTCAGACATATGAGGAATGCTACGAACACTCAGCATCTTGAACTCAGGATGGGGAACTAAATTCTCCATTAAGTCTCCTGCAAAAAAAAAAAGAAAAAAGATTTGAAGTCATTTTTTTTATTCAACACTGTTGTTGTTGACCACACACAGCCATAATCTGATGGCTTTCCAGGCCACATACGTGTTTTCATCTAAGGACAGAACTGCTTGAACTTTAAAACATAAGTTAAATTTCCAAAACAACTTCCATTGCAGACTAGAACTTTGCTTCATTTTAACACTCATTTTAGCAAGGGTGAGAAAACAAAATTTACCAAAAAGGAAATAAGAATTGGGAAGATGAATTAACTAGAACTGTGAATGAAATGCTCAGCTAAGCCCCAGGAAAACAAAGTAAGTTTGAGAGCTGCTATCCTTTCTTGTCATTCTGTGTTTACTAAACATTCCTTGAGAAACAGCCTGAGATCTTTTATTATCTAGTTAAATGATAACTGAAACTTGTTAACATAAAGTCCTATAGGGGGGGTAGAAGGGAGAAACGAATAGTAATTTCTTTTTTTTTCCCCCAGAAAGATTTTTTTTATAGAACATGTGTGCTTGCTGGAGAGACAGAGAGAGACAGAAAGCGAGAAATCACCCCCAAGGCCACACTAGAATCCCTTTTACTCAATTCTAGGGAATTTGGACACACACACACACACACACACACACACACACAAGTGAGGCTTAAAACTCACACTAGGAGCGTGTGTGCGCACGTGTGTCCAAAATCCGGAGAGGAGAGGGGGATTGTGTCATGACCATACCCCCAAGGGTGTGATTTCTTTCTGTCTCTCTGGGGAGCCTATATACCCTATAGCAAAAGTCTCTATTCCAAAAAAAAAGAATGTGCCTATTTTTAGAAACTTGTGTTTGTAATGAAACAGAATTAAGGAGAAATCCAATTTATATTCACATCTGTCTTACATATTTATGGAAAATAGTATGAGGGGGGAGAAAGACATCAAGATAACATAAAATACAGATTTTATGATAATATTGAATACAAATTCATATCCTACTTCCTAATGAAAACAACAAATTTTGACACAAGTATCTAAATAACGCTGCCTAAATGACCTTATGCTTGTGGAGTTCCCTCTAACATGACATCCTTCTCTGTAGAATAGAGTTCTATTGCATAGTACGAGTGCACATAAAATAGTCAGCAAACAATTCCTGAGCACTAATACACGTATTATTAATGACTGCAACATGTTCTCTGCTCTAGCTTTCTTGTTCAACTTCTCTCATCTTAGCCATTCTTGGATGTCATGGAGATCCTAACTCATAGACCTCCTGCCCTCTCATCTAACAGTCTTACCTCTTTCTGCAAGAGTCTTGGGTCAGCTCCACTCCTCACATTCTGTCAAAGTTTGACTGTACAGAGTCACGCCACACCACATAGCAGACTGGGACTCTTCTGAATTCACAATGTCAAAACATCATACTAACGCCCACGTTCATATTTTAGGCTGACACAAATAACATTCAAGGGGACAAATACCTAGTGGGTTTCTTCTGTAGTGATGTGAGCCTCCAACAGAGTAAGTAGGTTGGAATACACTTCCCAGCTGATGTGCGAGGACTTGATTTATATCACTGAAGGAGATCTGCTTGATATTCTTTAGTTTTGCACAGATCTCATGGAGAGCATCATTTTCATGAATGAGGAGGGCGTCGGAAGATCGGTACAAGTGAGAAAGCGTCAAAATGGAGTTGTAGTTCTGAACAATAACCTGAAAAAAAGTGTCAGAGATGGAGGGGTGAAGAGGATAGAGAAAGATAGCAAGAGAACAATAGAGAGGCAGGACGTTAGTGAGAAACAGATATGGCTTATTACCTGTTGATGATGACATGTATAGTATTCTCAACTGGACTGGTCTGAGAAGTATTTCATGATGGGTAAAGTCTTTTTACAAGCAAAATGAGAAATAGTGATTGACTGTTTTAAAAAATAATTAGAATAATAATAATAATGATTGGGAAAAACATAGAAAAGATATTGAATGATGAACCGGGGAAATTAATGTCTCTGTATTGACTGACATGCATGGCATTCCCTTTTGAAAAAGCAATGTAATACACTGTAAAGTTCCATGTAATCCAATGTAATATAAAGATTATGATGATAATAAAAAAAAGTGTCAGAGATAAAAAAGGAAAAAAATAGTGGTTAAGAGTATAAGTTTTATTTAGTTATTTAAAAATTTGCCATGGGGTGCAAAAGCTCACCAGAGAGACAGAGAAAATGAGAAAGCACTCCCCGAGGTGACATTGCAATTTGTTCTCCTCCAGTATCCTCAGGATTTTGGGCACACACACACATGCACCTGGTATGTATTTCAAACCACTAAGTCTGGGACTTGAACCATGCAGTCAGCCATGTGGGATCCAGCTGCTTTAACTACCACTGGCTGGACTAAGAGTGCAGGTTTTATTTATTATGTATTTAATTTTCTTTCAAGAGACATCTTTGCTATAAGGTGCATGTGCTCACCAGAAAGACAGAAAGTAAGAAATCACCCCCTAGGGGGATGGCCACACCACAATCCCTTCTCCTCCATTCTCCTTTTAGTATTTTGGGCACGCACGCATGAGCACCCATAGTGAGTTTCTGTCTGCTGGGTCCAGGACTAGAACTGTGGGTGGCCATGTGGGAGTCCAGTGCCTTAACCACTATGCCACCTGCTGTCTCTGAGAACAGGTGTTACAGGCATCCTGCCTGGGTTCAAATCTTGGCTCTGCTGTTTACTAGCTGTATGACCTTGGTCAATTATTTAATCTCTATATGCCTCAGTTTATTCATTTGCAAAATGGGGATAACAGTTATATGGTTCCCCAGAGTTGTAAGGATTAAGGATATAATGGGAGAAAGAAAACAGAACAGTGCCTCATACATAGAATGGGCAAACAAACACTGGCTACGACTAGCATTCTTCCTATACTGGTTCCTCTAGTAATTTGTCTCACTTCTGTTCTGTTTTCCTACTAAGTTGATCAACAGGAAACTAGACTATATAGAAATTTTCACCCACTGGAAATAAATTAAAATTATCTGAAAGTTGACAATGGCACCAGGAACCCCAACATTAGGTCAAGGTCCCTTCTTTATACACTGTAGTCAGAGTGATGAACCCAGTATAAATTCCTGAAAAGAGAAGCACAGTCACCATCTTTGGGGATTTTGAAAAATAAGAATACTTCACTTGTTTGGAAGTTTAAGCAAAGTCAAATGACTTGTTCATGAAAGCACCATATTGTATTCTTACTCCTGAAGCTATAATTGAACATTTTCAAGAAAAAGATGGAATTTTAACCTACATTGATAGCAAAGAATACAAAAACAAGGCTTTCAATTAATATGTGCATACCTCACCAGTTCCATAAGGCCATATAATCTGATTCATTTTCAAAGAGTTTGAGTACTGATCTTGTAAATTCTGTGTAATGAAGGCTCCTAGCCCCGATCCTGTGCCCCCAGCCATACTCATTATGATGAAAAATCCACTCAAAGAGTCACACTTCTCCACTTCCTTCTGGATTAAGTTCATTATTGATTCTTTATGCCTGGGTCCATGAACAGAGTAACTATGCAATGGTAAAAGAAACAAATATAAACACCTTTTGATTTAACCAGACACCTGCAATGCAGAGAAAAACACATAGGATAGAGAGGTCTTTTCAAAGTATGGAAATAAACTAACTCTTATGAAAGGTACAGGTACACTGACTGACTTATTTATTTATTTATTTATCTGCTATAGGACATGTGTGCTCACCAGAGACACAGAGAGAAAAAGTTAAAAATCTCTACCTAAGGGGAATGGCCACACCACAGTCCCTTCTCCTTCATTCTCCTCCTGGGATTTTGGGCATGCATGCACATGTGTCTGATGTGATTTTCAAGTTGCTAGGTTCAGGACTCGAACTGTGTTTGGCCATGATGGAATCCTGCACTTTAACCACCATTATCACCTGCTGAACCCTCATCTGACAAAATTTAAATATAAAAGTCAAATATATTTAACAGATGAATACAACTACTCAGTGAATGAATTTATAGACTGTAGAAAGTTCTCTTTTATTGGTCATCTTTTAGCTAAGCTTTCAGATACCAGATAATTCTATAAGTTTATAGTACAACATAATAGTCAATATTCATAAAATAGTCTTTTAAAAATAATTTGATTTAACTTTATCTACTTACTTTAATTTGATTAGAGAGAGAGAAGGAAAGTGAGAAAGCAAGCCACCAGGTCCAGGACTCGAACTGCAGTTGGCCATGTGGTAGTCCAGCACCCTTAACCACCAAACCACCTACTGGCCCCTCATAAAATAGTCTCAAAGCAGTTATCAAACTTTGCTGTTGTGCCAAAAAATAAAAATAAAATAAAATAAAATCCCAAGATCCAGCCTTCATCCCAAAATAAATCAGAATCTCTGGAAGGAACCCTAGGTATTGAGAATTTCCAAAGAACCTCAGGAAATTATAATGTGTAGCAAAGACCTGCTGCCTTGTAGTATTCTGTATAACTGGAATTCCTGCTAGAAAAGGATATTATACTGATAGTAAGTTAGCTTGCAGCAGGACAGTGAAGAAGGTAGAAAACCCTGCTCTAACAGATTATTTCACCATTTCCTGTACCTGATGCATAGACACAGAGTTTGAGTATCATCAAATTCTAGCTTGTAAAACAGCAGTTTCAAGACTCTATGCTCCGTACATCAACTGTGCAGTTCCAACTACACTATTAACTATGTAGCTGCAATTGCATCATGTATCATGAGGAATCACTCTTACCCGTATGCCCAGTTGTTTCCAGAACCTTGTTTCTGACAAAAGTTTGCATGCTGGCTATATTTCCATTGGCCAGACTGGGCAGCCTTTGATAGTGTTTGATTGATAACTTTAGGTTCCATGTCAACAAGCACAGCACGGGCAATTGGAACTAGATAGGGAGAAAAAAAAAAAAAAAAGCCAAAAGAGAAAACTATTACATATAGCTTATTTGGGTAGCTCGGAACATAAACTTCTAGGTTCAAAAAAATAAAGAATTCAGGGATTAAGAGTGGAAAGATCTATCACATTGCATAGAAACCCATGGGGATGGCAGTAGATAGATACAGATGTTCGTAAAGCCCAGCATTTTGCTAAGTGTGAGGAGTCGATGTAGCTATAACAGTCACTACAGACATCTTGAGTGCTTATAATATGCCATGAATGGTGCGGGAAATACACAGATGAAGACGACATCAAACCAGCACTAAGAGGATACTCACTCTTGAGTAAGATTCAGGAAAGATAAGATACATGGACAATCACAGTACAACATGATATCCAAACTAAGGCAGCAGCATATTCTGAGGTATAAAATTCCATGGGCACAGCATGCAGGTCAGGATTGTGAGAGCACAGGGTGAAGATGGAGGAGGGAAAAGAAGTGAAGGAAAGCAGACAGGACTCAGTTCTTGAAAACTCTTTTTTTTTTTTTTTTGAGAGGTTTTTTCGCTATAGGGCGCGTGCGCTCGCCAGACAGACAGAGACAGAGAGACAGAAAGCAAGAAAGCACCGCCCAGGGGGGATGTTCACACCGCAATCCTTTCTCCTCCATTCTCCTCTCGGGATCTTGGACACACACGCACACACGCTGGGCATGAGTTTAAGCCACCGGGTCTGGGACGCAAACCGGGGTTGACTACGTGGGAGTCCAGCGACATAGCCATTACGCTAACTGCTGGTTCCCAGTTCTTGAAAACTCTTGTAGACAATGTTAAAAAAAAATTCGAATTTTTTTCTTTTAGGCAACGATAAACCACTGAAAATTTTGTTTTTTTTTAGTTTGCTGTAGGGTGTGTGCACTCACTGTGGGGGTAGAGAAAGTGGAAAAATGGGGCAGAGGAGTGAAAAAGCAACTGACCCCCTTGGGGGTTACACAAGCGCCCTATGTGTTTTTCAAGTTGCTGGATCTGGGGCTTGAATCATACACTCAGCCATGTGGGGTCCAACTGCCTTAACCACAAAGCCACTGACTAGCCCAACTACTAAAAATTTTCAAGCAGAAGAAAAATAGTTAGATCTCTCTCTCTCTTTATTTATTTCTTCTTCCACAAGAAAGAGAGAGAGGAGACAGGTAGTCCCATAGCGTCTTCACACCATGATCTATCTCCAGTCTCAGCTGGCCTGAAGCACAATCATAGGCTTGTACATACATGCACTGAGTATGCTCAGGGAGGTGCTGGGATGCAAATCCAAGACCATTCCCATATGGGTGCAGCTGTGTCACCACTGCACTACCTCCTGACCCCAGATGTCTTTCTTCTAGGCAGGGAAACTCAGAAGGAGGGTTTTAAAACAGTACAGGTGAGGGACCAGCAGTTAGCGTAATGGTTATGTTGCTGGCCTCCCACGTAGTCAACCGCAGTTTCCGTCCCGGACCCGGTGGCTTAAAACTCACGCCAGGCACATGTGCGTGCCCAAGATCCCGAGAGGAGAATGGAGGAGAAGGGACTGCGGTGTGGCCATGCCCCCTGGGGGGTGATTTCTCACTTTCTGTCTCTCTTTCTGTCTCTGTCTGTCTGGTGAGCGCACGTGCCCTATGGCAAAAACCTCTCAAAAAAATTAAAAATAAAAACAGTACAGGTGAGAAAGGGTAAGATCAGAATTAAGACAGTAACAGTGGGACCAGCAGTTAGCGTAATGGCTATGTCGCTGGACTCCCATGTAGTCAATCACGGTTCGCATCCCGGACCCGGTGGCTTAAAACTCATGCTGGGCGCGTGTGCATGCGTGCCCAAGATCCCGAGAGGAGAATGGAGGAGAAGGGATTGCGGCATGACCATCCCCCCGGGGGGTGATTTCTCGCTTTCTGTCTCTATGTCTCTCTCTGTCTGTCTGGCGAGCGCACACACCCTATAGCAAAAACCTCTCTGAAAAAAAAAAAGACAGTAACAGTGAAGATCAAAAAGAAAGAACAGTTGTTTTTTTTTAAAGAATGTTTTCTTTTTAACTTTATTTATTCATTTTAATTTGATCAGAAAGGGACAGAGTGAAAGCAAGACAGAGAGAGAAAGGAAAAGTGAGAAAGCAAGCTGCCAGGTCCAGGACTTGAACCACGGTCAGCCATGTGGGAGTCCAGCATCCTTAACCACCACGCCACCTGCCAGGCCCAAGAAAGAACAGTTTTAAGAATTATTCTAGAGGTAAAATATACAGATCTCAATGTTGACAGTATGCTAGCAGCGAGATGTTCACTTATGAATCTGCAGTTTAGAAGAAAGGCTGCACAGGAGATTTGAGAGTCGCCAGTGTTAAAAATATAGTAAACTATGTGTGACTAAAATTGTCACGGAGAACTATATAGTGAGGACAAAGGACAGCTTGAGATGTAGTTGCTGGAGAAGAAGAATTCAGAGAGCAGGAGTTTCAAGGAGGGGATTTTATAGTTAATATTATCAAATCTAGTAGTGAAGTTAAGTGAATTCAGAAAAGGTAGCAGTTGGATCCGATAATTAGGAGGTCACTGGAAACTTTTCCCAGTGTAGCTTCAGTGGTGGTGTGGGGCAGAAGCAAGATTATAGGTGGCTAAGCAGAGCTCTCTTGAGAATCTTGGATGAGAAGGCAAAAAGGAAGGACGAAGAAGGCTATAATCAAGAGATAAGTTTTGTTTGGTTGGTTTTATTGATTAATTGATTGATAGAGTGTATGTGTTTGCCAGGAAGCGACAGAGAGATAAAGGGAGAGGGAGAGAAGAAAGCACTCCCCATGAGAAATGGTCACTCTCCAATCCCTTCTCCCCCATTTCTCTCTCCCTTCCTGACTTTGGGCCCACACTTACACATGCTGGCATGTTTCTCAAGCTGTTAGGTCTGGGACTCAAACTGTGTGCTTGGCCACATAGAATCTGGCTGCCTTAACCATCAGGCCACAGAGCCAGCTCTATTTATTCAATCCGAAGTTTATTCACCTATCTCTTCCATGAATGAGAAAGAGACAGACAGAGCCCCTGATCGTCTTGATGTTGCAATCCACCAGCTAGCTCCAGATCATGGACAAGCATGTGTCTACCATACTCAGAGAAGTCTTAGAATTGAACCAGGAACCTTTCTACATAGGACTGTCTCACACAGCATCATGTGCTACTGCTGTACCAGCTTCTGTTACCTGTTAAGATTCAGATTGGTAAGATTGAAGCATGCTCATGTGTTGAGAGGATGATGCCACTGGAGAGGCAAAGGTTTTTAACACAGAAACAGCCAAGAGCAGTCACTCCCCAGTAGTTGGAGGAGATGGGGTTCAAATATCATCTGGAGGGCCTGCCCTTGAAGAGGCTCGTTATGTAAGAGGAAAGGAAGGGACTGTGCTTCACACATACCTCCATTTTCCTCCTCACTGAAGAATCTTTCTTTACAAGACGCTTGATAGGCTTCATTCTCTCTCTTAGAGCAGAGTCCCTGGGAACAGTGTGAGTCTCTAAATAAAGCATCAAACACTTCAAAACCTATCTGATTGCCACACTGACCAAGTTGCACCGTTATAACTGACATGTTGAGCCACAAACTAGGCCTATTCTCTCAAAAATGTGAACAACCTGCAATAGGAATAAAAAAAGTTTTGAGAACCACTACATTATTAATAAGAACAAATAAAATCCCATAAATAATAATTATACATCAATAAAAATAATTTCAAAATGCCATATATGTAGATACCATTTTAGATGAAATAGGTACATTATCTAAGGAGTCAGTCACTCAGAGAAGTTCTACTCTACATGATTTGGAGACTGGTGATTTACTACACCCAAATCCAGTCATACACAGCTCAATAGTTGACAAAGCCTGATCTGTACTATTTTCCTAAACTTGGATTTATTGTAAAACAAAACAAAAGTAGTAGCGGAAGAAATAACTAGTACACACGTGACACCATCTTTTTTGGAGAGATTTTCGCCATAGGGCACATGCGGTAGCCAGCCAGACAGAAAGAGCCAGAGAGACAGAAAGTGAGAAATCACCCCCCAGGGTGGATGGCCACGCCACAATCCCTTCTCCATTCTCCTCTCGGGATCTTGGGCATGCACGCACATGCACCCGGCGTGAGTTTTAAGTCACCAGGTCCGGGACGCGAACTGCGGTCGACTGCGTGGGGGGGTCCAGCGACATAGCCATTACGCTAACTGCTGGTCCCCACATGTGACACCATTTAACCCAGAACACAAATGTTAGCTCAACAATCTTACTTTTGATTAATATTAATTTTCTCTCTCTACTAACCACCTTTCTTATTTATTTATTTATTTTTTTGGAGAGGTTTTTGCTACAGGGTATGTGCGCTCGCCAGACTGAGAGAAACAGAGAGACAGGAAGCAGGAAATCACCCCCCAGGGGGGATGGCCACACCACAATCCCTCCTCCATTCTCCTCTCGGGATCTTCGGCACGCACGCACATGCACCCGGGGGGAGTTTTAAGCCACTGGGTCCAAGACTCGAACCGCGGCCGACTACGTGGGAGTCCAGCGACATAGCCATTACGCTAACTGCTGGTCCCATCTACTAACCACCTTTCTGTCATAATAGCAATAGTTAAGACAGCGAGGATAGTGAGAAAGATGGAATTTGGAGAAAAAGGACCATATAAAATATTAGAGCAGGTCTTCATTATTATTATAATTTTTGCTATAGGGTGCATGTGCTCCTGGGAGACAGAGACACAGAGAGAGAGACAGAGACAGAGAGAGAGAGAAGGGGGCTGGAAGGTGGCGTGGAGGTTAAGAGTGCTGGATTCCCACATGGCAGACCACGGTTTGAGTCCCAGACCTGGTGGCTTTCTTTTTCACTTTCCCTTTTTCTCTCCTCCTGTCTCTCTCTGATCAAATTAAATAATAATAACAAATGGAATTAAATGAATACATATTTTTTAAAAAGTGGGGGCCATATAGGATCCAGCTGCTCTAACCTCCATGCCATCTGCTGGCCCCAAGTCGTCGTCATTATTTTTAACAACGAAAAGAAACAAATTTTGATAATGACCTCACCTCAGATCTGTGTAGCACTGGATATGGGCAGTGGGTGGTGAACTAGATTCCGTTCTTGTAATTTCAAACCTTCACGGTAGCTATTATTATCCTCATTCTACAGACAAAGAAACTGAGTCTTTGACATATTGTGGGAGACCATCGAACTACTATCTTAAATATCAAAGCCAAGACTCTCTTTCCTTACTGGACCCAGAGGCTCCCCACTAACCCACTTACTGACAGCCTTCGTATTAGCCGCGTCTTTCCTGTTCAAACTTCAGAGGACCAACCCTCTCACTATGCGCATGCTCACTTTCAACACTAAAAAGCTACGGAGAACGAATGCGCATGCTCCACAGACGGCGCGTTTTGTTGTGTGAGTGTGTTTTTTCCCCCTCTATTCAGATAGTTACTTACGCATGTTCAATTTCAATTTATCAACTTCAGATATGGTACGCATGCTCACTGTCCACCAAACGCTTTAGCTGACGATACGCATGCTCCAGCCTCCTCGAGCGGCTTCGGCTAGTGTTTTGCGCATGTTTCTGCCAGTACCTGGAGCCAGGCCATAGTTCTGCGCATGTCCACTACCCACGGTTTGGCTTCATGTTACACTGTACGCATGCTCCAGCCCCGAACCTGAGAAACCAGTCCAGGGCCTAGGCGCAGACGCACTGAGTCCAAGCAGCCGGTGATGGCGGCGTCGGCGGCGGTGCCTGCGGCGGGTCCGGGCCCATGAGGCGACGACGGAGGCGGGACGGCCTTTACTCAGCGCCGGACTTCCAAGACAGGGAAGCTGAGGACATGGCAGGAGTGTTTGACATAGACTTGGATCAGCCAGAGGACGCGGGCTCTGAGGATGAGCTGGAGGAGGGGGTGAGGCCCGGGGTCCCGGGGGGGCCCGAGGTGACAGGGCCAGGGCGGCGGCGCGGCCCCAGGAAGCCCGGTGTGTCCTAGAGCGCTGAGACCCAGGGGGGCGCGGGTAGTCTCTTGGAAGAGCTGAGGCGCCGCGCGGCCCGAGGCGGGGGAGCAGACGAGGCGGACCTGGCCCTAGGTGTGAGGCCTCTGCGGGGCTCACAGGTGCAGGTCGCGCCCTTAGCCCCAGATCAGCTCAGCCCCAGGCAGCCTGAAGAGGGAAGGAGAACGGGCGCGTGGTCGATTCCTCGAGCTGTTGGCGGGACACGGGTGGTGTGAGCGCGTGTTGGGGAGAGGAGGGCTGCGCTTGCTAGGTGTTCCGTAGGTGCAGGTGAAGAGCGGAAGGGTTTCCCTTCAAGTGTAAGATTTCAAGTATTCAGTCTTAGGACCTCCCACAACCACCTCTCTTTTTGGCCTGTCGCTTCTCTCCTAGGAAGCGCTCAGCTGTTAGAAGTGACAGCTGAAAACTTCTGTCGGGAGTAGCACTGCCGCTGCTGTTACAACCACCAGGAGTTTTATTTCGGGAGCAAGGGGGCTCTGCTGCATCTTCCAGGGTTTGTTTGTTTGCTTTTTTTTTTTTTTAACCCCCTTCCGTGTGATTTTTTTTTTAAAGCATTTATAACGACACACGGCCTTTGTAACTTTCACCAAGTTGAAGATGTCAATATTTTTAAAGAATAATTTATGTAATTTTGGGGTGGGAAAAAACCACTGTTGACAGCTGTGATTTGGCTTGCCAAAAATAAATTGCTTGAACGAAGACTTGTGAATGGTGGTGTGAGGGCTTTTCTTGCTGTAATTTAGGGTGCTAAATTTAGAAATGTTTTTCCTAATGTACAGCTTGGTTTTACCTTTGCTGTCTTATTGGTTTATTACACATTGTGGAATATAATAATTTCTTTTTCAAGATTAATTTATTGAAATATCACAAATTGCAACTGTAGCTCTAGAATGGTGTTGTCCATAAATCACTGTTTTTGGACAAATGATCATCACTGATAACCTCATGATAATATAGATTGTAAATTGCATTGTCTAGATGAGAACATGGTTTAATGACTGATGTCACATGTTTGCTCTAACCCCATAGGGCTTCCCTTCCCTTCCTTCACCCTCAGTTTTGCTCCTCTGGCAAATGAATATGTAATGTTGTTGACAAAAAATTGAGATGCTCTTTATAAAGAACTCTGAACACATAAGAAACTAAGTGGGCTGGGGCCAGCAGGTGGTATGGTGGTTGAGGCGTTAGACTCCCAGTGGTGGTGGACCACGGGTGAGTCCCAACCCAGCGACTTCAAACTCACACGGGGCGTGTGGGCACATGCACGTCTGTGCGTGTGCCCAAAATCCTGAGAGGAGAATGGAGGGGAAAGGATTGCAGCGTGGCCATACTCCTTGAGGAGTGATTTCTCACTTTCTGTCTCTCTGGGCTAGCACAAGCCCTCTACAGCAAAAAAATCTCTCAAAAAATAAAAATCTCTCTAAAAAAACAAAAAAATGAAATGTGCTAAAATAATACTGCACTTTTCATTATCAAATGAGACTGAATCAAAATCACACAGTTTAGAAGATGGATATTGAGGTGTGTTTATTCTTTTTAAGATTTTTGCCATAGGGCGCTTTGTGTGTGCTTGCCAGAGAGAGACAGTGAGAAGGAAAGAGAGAAATTACCCCTCCAGGGTGGATGGCCATGCCCTAATTCCTTCTTCTCCATTCTTCTCTTGGGATTTTGAGCACACAAACATACATGTGCACACACATGCCCCACGTGATTTTCAAGTCACTAGGTTTGGGACTTGAACCAGGTCCTAGACTTGAACCATAGTCGGCCATATGGGAGGATAGCGCCTTAACCACTACGCCACTTGCTGGCCTGGAGGTGTGTGTTTTCCTATGGCATTCCAGATCCCTCTTAATTGACTGTAAGGTTACACTATATACACTTTGAAACAAATACAAGATTACTTTCATTACAGACATACTCTTGCTTATAACATGGATTCCATATGGCAGAGGCTTTGGAGCCAGATAGAGGAGAAAACTGGATAGGAAGGGTGTTTTATATCTTAGTTGAACTGATAAATTTTCAGACTATGGGTTTATCCTCCTTTGAAAATGCAATACTGTATTAAGATCACTGTTATGAACTGGGACCTTGTTTTTCTTTTTACTTTCTTGTTGTGTTTCAGAAACAGGTGTTCCAGTTTTTCCCTACTCCTCAGCTTTTGTTTCGCTGGGTACAAGAATACAAGAAAGTGAAATTTTGAGAGGGTCTTAGGAGGAAGCCAGAGAAATTGTTGAAAATAGGAAAGACAAAAATGTGGCCACAACCTTTGGGAGAGGAGATTTGAGGATAGAGCAGAGGTAATTGAAGAAAATTTTGAGGAAGAGTGGTCACTAAAATATATTTTAGCAATCTTCTGGGAGTTGAATTTCTTCTGAGCTGAATTTTATTTTAAATATTTATTTTTATGTATTCATTCATTTATCTTAATTTGACCAGAGAGAGAGAGAGAAAGTGAGAAAGCAAGCCACCAGGTCTGGGACTTGAACCATGGTTGGCCATATGGAAGTGTCCAGTCCTTAACCACCACAGCACCTGCTGGTCCCATCTTTTTTTTTTTTAAAGAATTATTTTATTTAACTTTATTTATTTACTTATCTTAATTTGACCAGAGAGGGAGAGAGAGAAAGTGAGAAAGCAAACTGCCTGGTCTGGGACTTGAACCATGGCCGGCCATGTGGAAGTCCAGCACCCTTAATCACCATGCCACCTGCTGCCCCCCTCCCCCCAGCATGCTTCTCATAGGTTTCTCAAGGTGAAGAGTCGAGTGGGATTGGGTGAGATTAGGTAGGCAACCTAAGGAAATTCGGTGACATTCAGTTTACTTAGAAATTAAAAGCAGTTCTGAAAATTTTGAGAACTTTAGATTTATAGACTCTTCTAATATTATCTGTTTGTGAATTTATTACCTTTAATTCATTAGACAAATTTCCATTTAAAAAAATATTTATTTATTTAATTCCACTTCTTATTACTTTTTTAAAATTGGACCAGACGGAGACAGAAACAGAGAGAAAGGGAAAGGGAGAAAGGAAGCTGGGCCTCGAACTGCAGTCGGCCATACGGGAATCCAGTGCCTTTAACCACAACACCATCTACCAGCCCCATTAGATTTCTTAAACATGGGTGCATATCAGAGTAGCCTTACTTCTTTATTTTATAGTAAGGGGGAAACTGAGGCACAGGCCAGTAAGGGTAGCTCAAGATTACAGGGTGGTGGTATCTTCTGACTCAGTTCAGCAACCTTCTTTACAGAGATTCTTCATTGCATTTACTAGTCTTGTTGCTAATGCAGCTGTGGTGTGTCAAAAGTAAATTCAAATCCCTTTGGCCATACTCACTGACTGTGTGACCTAGAGTAAATTGCTTAATCTCTGCTACTTTTTTCTTCTCTGAAAACTAGAGTTACATGAAGTAAAGTATATAAAGTACTCTCAAAATATCTTGGCCTATTAAGCAGTTAGCTAGTTCACATAAATAAAGCTTGTCAGTGTTATTTATTGCCAAGGAACAAAACATTCACATTTACCTTCACCTCTGCCTATAGACTTAATAATACATGCAGTTAAATAAGAGATGCTATATATTTAAGATTGTAGTATCATGGTTTGTTTTCTTTTTTTAAAGAATTATTTATTTAATTTTATTTATGTATTCATTTATTTTAAATTGGCCATATAGAGAGAGAGAGAGAGAGAAAGAGAGAGAGAGAAAGAAAGTGGGAAAACAAGCCACCAGATCCGGGACTCAAACTGTGGTTGGCTATGTGGTTATGTCTAGCGCCTTAACCACCATGCCACCTGCTGGTCCCAGTATCATGATTTTAATTATGTTTTAAAAATCATTAACCCTTTTTAGAGGTATGTATCATTTTTGGTTTATTGTACTGCGTAAATCTGTGTTGGTAAATGTATTTGTTCACATAGCTTAGTTAATTCTTAAAAGAGTTAAAGATGAGAAAATTGAACTGACACATTTATGGTTGATTGTCTTCCACCTAACCGAAAAAAAAGACCCTTATTGAATTCTGCAGAGAAATATATGAGAATCTATAAAAGAGTTTCTTTGGGTCATGGGTATTCTGTTTGATTCACTGGAAATTGTATCATTTGGGGTAGGTAGTTGAAAATGAGGAAATGCTTTTGTACAGAGAATTTTATTAGATCGTGAAAATGTTGGAATCTTCTCTACTTTCTGTATTAAGACAGTAATATGGGCCAGCAGGTGGCAGGGTGGTTAAGGCACTGGATTCCCACAAAGCTGACTTGGTTTGAGTCCCGGACCTGGTGGGTCTCTCTCTCTCTCTGTTTCTCTCCCTAGTGAGTATATCTGCCCTGTAGCAAATTTAAAAGTTAGAATAATAGTGGTAAATAAAATTAAATACATTTTTTTTAAAGAGTAGTTGATGGCATAATGGTTATGTCGTCGTACTCCCACTTAGTTACCGCGATTAAAGTCTCTGACCTGACCCGGCAGCTTAAAACCCACACTGGTGCATGTGGATAAGTGCCCAAAATCCCCAGAGGAGAATGGATGAGAAGGGGTTGGAGTGTGGCCATTCCCCCTGGGGGGGTGATTTCTTGCTTTCTGTCTGTCTCTGGTGAGCAACAAAAGCACCCCAAAATCAAAAAAGCCCATAAAAAAAAAAAAAAAGAAAAAAGAAAATTATAATGTAAATTTTTAAATCTTTACTTTTTACATTACTGTTTTATTGTACAAGTTTAAGGTTGGGATTCAGATTTTCTTCTTTTTTTCTATTTTAAAAATTTGCTATAGAATGGGGCCAGCAGGTGGTATGATAGTTAAGGCTTTGGACTCCTACATGGCTGCTTGCAGTTCAAGTCCTGGACCTGGTGGCTTGCTTTTTCATTTTCCCTTCTCTCTCTCTCTGGTCAAA